ATTCTGTAGAAGGACGGCGCCGACAGCGAAATCGATGGAACGTTGATGGTGCGTTCGTCAACCGGAACGTCATCACTGTATATTCGTAACTGCCGTAGCAGGTGCGAAAAGCCGTCTTTGGGCAGTCGTTGGCAAACACGCGAATTTGGTGATAGCCACCTTGCAGATCAATTTTCGAGAAGAAGTGAGCACCGTGAAGCTGATCCAGCAGGTCGTCCGCTCGCGGAATCGGGTAACGCGAATTGATTGTAATCCAATTCAGTGCTCGATAGTCGATATACATGATAGCTCCCATCGTCCTGTCGATCATCGGATTGTATCGTTGCAGCCAATCTCACCACAGCAGCACATCACAACCGTCCAGTATTGTGGCCAGCATCTTCGTCGAAGACACAAAGTTGTCTCCGCACTTCATCCGAACTTGTCGCACCTCGTCCCGTATCACCAGCGGTGTCCCATCGCCGTTAACCCTCCCCACGACCGGCACAGGGTGATCCACTGTCAAGATAAGAGCTTCCTGGGCTAGGAGAAACCCTAGCCTAGGAGCAAGGACTTAGTTACGAGAGGAAAACGGGATTGCCAAAGAAGGGTTTTACTATTGATTGAAGGGTACAAATAGAGAACAAACAATCAAAGAAAGGTGAACCACCAATCAGAGTTTATGATAACTACACTGCGGCTAGAACTACATGCAGTTATAACAATATAATTCTGACATCCCCCCTTAACTGCATGCAGGAATAGCCAAGTGCAAGACACAACCTGTACGGGTACACCAAGTAGAACAAAGCAGCAGCACGCAAGAGCAGTGACAACCAGTGCAGAAGTGGCAGATACAACTGCAGTAAGCCCTGTGGCAAGAGAGAGACGAGACAAACGAAGGTGCACGTGGCGCAGGTAGCCTGGAGAGCAGGTGCGTGCGGCGAGAAAGGGTGGCGGCAACGCAGGGCTCAACGGCAGCACCTGCCGCTCAACAGCAGCAGAGAGACGAAACGAACGAAGGTGGCGACAGGGGCTGCAGCAGGAAGTGTCACGGTAGCAGCGGGCGGCAGCTGCATATGCGTGGCTGCTTCATCCGCCACTCTCTCTTACCCTCCCTTAACCTCTCTCCTTCCCCCCCCCCCCCCCCCCCCCCCCCCAACAGCAAAAAGTGCTGCAGGGAGAGACGAAGAGGGAAGGGAGGGTTGAGTTGCTGGCGGCTCACACCCGCCACCCCCACATACCCCCCCCCCCCCCCCCCCACGGTAGAAGCCGCAGAAGGGAAGGGGGGGGGCGGCGTACGAAGCTGCTGGTGCGGGCGTCCGCACTGGCGCTTCGCGGCTGACGCAGGCGCTGGCGCTTCGCGGCTGGCGCAGGCGCTGGCACTGGCGGTCCGCGCTGGCGCAGGTCGCGGACGTCCGCGCTGGCGCCTGGCGAGGCGCGGGGCGGGCTGCGCGCGGTCGGAACGGGTCGCGCACGGATGGGACGAGCTGCGCGCGGTGCAGAACGAGGTGCGCGCAGGGGAAAACGGCAGCGTGTGGGGAGGAACGGGCAGCGCGCGTGCCAGGCGAGAGCACGAGGGGCGCCACGGCGAGCGTGACTGGTGGGCCATAACACTTACGGTCCGTAGGATCAAAAGCTCCGATAACATGTCAAGATAAGAGCTTCCTGGGCTAGGAGAAACCCTAGCCTAGGAGCAAGGACTTAGTTACGAGAGGAAAACGGGATTGCCAAAGAAGGGTTTTACTATTGATTGAAAGGTATAAATAGAGAACAAACAATCAAAGAAAGGTGAACCACCAATCAGAGTTTATAATAACTACACTGCGGCTAGAACTACATGCAGTTATAACAATATAATTCTGACAATCCACATGTTCATCCACTTTATTCATCTGGTTGCGGTCAACAACCCGTATCGGTACCACTATGCGGTGCGGATGGTGATTGTCGGGCGACGGGGTCTCATCAGTAGGTGGCTCAATAGCCTCCCTCCACGTGGACCTTGTAGCGGCGTAGTCATGGTGATCTTGTCCGGCAAAATTTTGTAATAGCCATACCGTATTCTCCCGGATAAAACACCCTAGGGTATTATGAAAACCACTGGAAAAAAATGGGGGGGGTCTCCTCAAAGGAAAATCCTATATAATACCCGGGTCTTATGATATAATATTTTTTATAAAACAGAAAAGATGTGAAACAAAATCAGGGGTCTGACTTCACTTCAAGATTGTTGATCAATGCCGCAAAACCGAGTACGATGATATTGTGGGCCACTTGGGCAACTTGGGCCACTTCACCTCTTGGACCACTTGCAGTGGAAGATACGCCAGCGTGGCGACAGCGAGATTTTGGGATTCACCAGCGTGGCGACAGCGAGATTGTGGGAGGGGGGATATCTTGGCTGATTCTAAGTGAAAGTACATGCGAAATTTCTTCTAGGGAGTGATTTTCGCGATATCCTCCCGTAAGGAATCGGACTCGATAACAGCTATAATAGGAATCTATAAGAAAAGGGGGGTGTTATAGAGAATCACCCCAAAAAGGGGGGTATAGTACTAACGGGGTCGGATATAACACCCACCCCGTATAAGCTACCCGGGGGTGTACAATTACGGGGGGGTGTTTTATCCGGGAGAATACGGTACGTCAGCGCAATCCCGGCCGTGGTCACGTGGGTCGCCGACGACGGCCCGAATCTACTTCGTTGGGGAGAGTGACGTCGTTCGCTGATGGAACCGTGCGAGTTGCCTCCAGCAACCGTTGACCGCAGCCCTCGCGTCCGCATTCCCCTCGTCATCTCCGGCCTTCCTGATCAGTCCCCTCGTCATCCGCATTCCCTCGTCACTGCCGAGTTGGTCACCGCTATCGACCTTGTTGTCGATGTCACCTTCATTGTGTACCGGTCGAGGAGACGCTGACGCATAATCCGCACCAGGTCGGAAAGGGTGCTCGCACGCCCACTGCGCACGAGTGCCTAGGAGGAGCACCTCTAATGGAGCCTCGCCAAACTCGCCAGCACTGTGGCGCCTCCTAACATCAGCTTCACGTGCCTCCAAGCTATCCTCTACTTCGCCAGCCTCTGCCGGGAGAGTAGGCATCATGGTCTGCACGGGCTGCCGGAGTAATAACGACTTAGGTATGTGGTACCTCGGCTACTAATCTGAATTTTCTCGGCGGGGCCGTCCACGCTCACCGCACCATGCGGAGAATTCAAACCTACGAGCGAGATTGCGTGATGGCGCAAGGGGTAGAACTCAGGATGTTGCTCTTGACAGGGTTGTTTTTGACTTAGCAGAATTCAAGCAGAGTTTCACTAAGGAAAAGAGTTGAAAAATGAACATATTACAAGCAAGATTGAACCATATACTAGAACAAGGGAGCTATGGAGAAACGTTCCTAGAGGAACGTTTAGCTAATTACCATGCATGTGCCATGCCAACGCAGCAATGGCAGGTGAAACAACAAGCCCATGTATTCCCACCTAACTTCGTAGTTGTCCAGGTTATACATGCATAGTTATGCACGTTTTTGGGTTGCGTAGCAACCCTATACATTTGGTAGCACTTTTCGGTCGACTCGAATGAACAGTGCAGTTTTTGTCATTTTCCCAACGTTTAAAGCCCTCGTTTTAACGTTTTCAAAACGAGTGCTCCAAAGTCGTGGACATGACGCAAGCACTAATCACAAGAGTCCCCAAAAAATGAAACCAAATGTAACCTTTCATTCCATAATCGTCGATAAATACGGCGAATGGAACAATCGGTCGTCACGAAACACAATTGACGAGAAACACCCACTGGACGTGAACGAAAATCATGTGCAGTGCATCCATTGAACACGTGCTAAAACAAAACAACTGAGAGTGAATGCTAAAATGCATCGGTGCTTCAACAGAGATGGTTCCGGTATGCTAAGGCGAGCTGCGCTGCCCCAACAACGATCCCCACCTCACATGCAGACCCGACACATTTTAACATCACACCTCAATTGCGTAACATGTGCAAAAACAACACAAACAACTGCTAGTGAATGCTAAAATGCATCGGTGCTACAGCACAGGTGGTTCCGGTATGCTTAGGCGAGCAACGCTGCCCCAACAACGATCCCCACCTCAAATGCAGACCCGACACACTTAACATCACACATCAGTTGCATACAAGAGGCACTTTTGCACACGCCTCGAGACAGACAGGTGCAAACAGACAAACGCACATATCTCACACAGGCTCACACGCGCACGTACACGCACGCATAAGCACATGCACAGCACACACTAACACACACACACAAACAACCACAGATAGATACACAGACCGTAATAAAGAGGCAACCGTCATGAATAAAATTCAGAAATGCAGAAATGATTGGTAGTCTATCCCACCCTCCCCTCCCTACAACCCTCCCTCCCTCCTTCCCTCATCTCCATCCCACTCCCTCCCTCATCTCCCTTCTCAACTAATGCGCTTGCACAAAGCAAAATCAGAGAAGTCAACACACACACGCCCTGCACAAGAAGGCAAGAACAGAGAAAGGAACAACACACCTTGCACAAAAAACAGTGTATGTTTATGTGTACAAGAAAGCATAAACCAAATACTGCAACACACGTGCTCATACAGGAGGCCAAGCAAGAATTACAAATCATCATCCCTCACTGCAGTGCGCGAGTGCGCTGCGGGCTTCAGAAAGAAGCCAGCGCGCGGCAACGCACCCGCCCGCCTTAAGCAGCAAGCAATCCGTGTCAAGGCGCCAAAGGCCATCACGCTAGCGCTTCAGGCACAAGCACCACAGGGCTCAGCACACTAGGTGCCAGCGCCCAAGTGTTAGAGCACCCTCCGTGAGCGTGCTAGGCACTAGCTCGCTAATTGCCAGCGGCCTAGACGAGCGTCTGAGGTGCCAACACCTTAGTAACCGGCACTTTAAGCGCTAGTGCAGAAAGCGACACTTATTTGCATAAATAGCCCCAGTTGCCCAAGCACCAGCTAAAATTATACTAGTGCTTACGCCCCAGCAAGCTCATGCGCACTCTCACTCGCACTCTCACGCGCTCTCTCACGGGCACTCTCACGCGCTCTCTCACGCGCTCTATCAAGGCGCACTCTCAGGCGCACTCTCCCGCGCGCTCTCTCGCGCTCTCTCTCCCGCACTCTCATGCGCATTCTCTCTCTCACGTGCTTTCTCTCGCGCACTCTCATGCACATTCTCTCTCTCACACGCTCTCTCACGCGCACCCTCACACGCTCCCTCACACGCTTTCTCACACGCTCTCACACACGCTCTCTCACGCGCACTCTCACAACTCTCTCACGCACATTCTCTCTCTCACAAGCTCTCTCACGCGCACCCTGTCACGCTCCCTCACACGCTCTCTCACGCGCTCTCACACGGGCTCTCTCACGCGCACTCTCACGCGCTTTCTGACGCGCTCTATCAAGGTGCACTCTCAGGCGCACTTTCACACGCTCTCTCTCGCGCTCTCTCTCCCGCACTCTCACGCGCATTCTCTCTCACGTGCTTTCTCTCACGCACTCTAACGCATATTCTCTCTCTCACACGCTCTCTCACGCGCACCCTCACACGCTCCCTCACACGCTCTCTCACGCGCTCTCACACGCGCTCTCTCACGCGCACTCTCACGCGCTCTCTGACGCGCTCTATCAAGGTGCACTCTCAGGCGCACTTTCACACGCTCTCTCTCGCGCTCTCCCTCCCGCACTCTCACGCGCGTTCTCTCTCACGTGTTTTCTCTCGCGCACTCTAACGCACATTTTCTCTCTCACACGATCTCTCACGCGCACCCTGACACGCTCCCTCACACGCTCTCTCGCGCACTCTCACACGCACTCTCACGCGCTCTCTCAAGGTGCACTCTCAGGCACACTCTCACGCGCTCTCTCTTGCGCTCTCTCTCCTGCACTCTCACGCGCACTCTCACGCACCCTCTCTCGCGCTCTCCCTCCCGCACTCTCATGCGCATTCTCTCTCTCACGTGCTTTCTCTCGCGCACTCTCACGCACATTCTCTCTCACATGCTCTCTCACGCGCACTCTCACACGCTCCCTCACACGCTCTCTCACACGCTCTCACACACGCTCTCTCACGCGCACTCTCACGCGATCTCTCTCACGCACATTCTCTCTCTCACAAGCTCTCTCACGCGCACCCTGTCACGCTCCCTCACACGCTCTCTCACGCGCTCTCACACGCGCTCTCTCACGCGCACTCTCTCGCGCTCTCTGACGCGCTCTATCAAGGTGCACTCTCAGGCGCACTTTCACACGCTCTCTCTCGCGCTCTCCCTCCCGCACTCTCACGCGCGTTCTCTCTCACGTGTTTTCTCTCGCGCACTCTAACGCACATTTTCTCTCTCACACGATCTCTCACGCGCACCCTGACACGCTCCCTCACACGCTCTCTCGCGCGCTCTCACACGCACTCTCTCACGCACTCTCACGCGCTCTCTCACGCGCTCTCTTACGCTCTCTCACGCGCTCTCTCATGCGCTCTATCACGCGCCCTCTCATGCGATCCCTCATGCACTCCCTCACGCGCTCTCTCAAGGTGCACTCTCAGGCACACTCTCACGCGCTCTCTCTCGCGCTCTCTCCTACACTCTCACGCGCACTCTCACGCGCTCGCTCTCGCGCTCTCTCTCCCGCACTCTCATGCGCATTTTCTCTCTCACATGCTTTCTCTCGCGCACTCTCACACACATTCTCTCTCTCGCACGCTCTCTCACGCGCACCCTCACACGCTCCCTCACGCGCTCTCGCACGCGCTCTCTCACGCGCCCTCTCATGCGCTCCCTCACGCACTCTCTCACGCGCTCTCTCAAGGCGCACTCTCAGGCACACTCTCATGCACTCTATCTCTCGCGCGCTCTCTATCGCGCACTCTCACCACATTCTCTCTCTCACGCTCTCTCTCTCGCGCACTATCGCACGCATTCTCTCTCTCTCACGCTCTCACACGCTCACATGCGCTTTCTTATCCGCTCTCTCACGCGCTCTCACGCGCTCTCTCACGCGCCCTCTCACGCGCTCCTTCACGCGCTCTTTCACACGCTCTCTCATGCGCACACGCTCTCCCTCACGCTCCATCTCTTTCTTCTTTAAATGAAAGTACAATGCAAGAGGAGACCAATCGACACACAGAAAAGGAATAATAATAATAATAAAAAAAAAGCGTAGAATTCAGAGGGGGGGAGGGAGGACGGAAGGACCGGGAACGCACCTGATAACCACGGTGCTTGAGAAAACAAGTCGCGCTCGCGCACCAACCCGCTCGCGCACCAACCCGCGCTTGCGCTCGTGCACCTGTCGCCGGAGGCGACGGCGGAGAGGGAAGGAGAGGCGACGGCGGGGAGTGGGGAGAGGCGACCGCGGGGAGGAGGGAGAGGCGACGGTGGGAAGTGGGGAGAGGCGACCGCGGGGAGGAGGGAGAGGCGACCGCGGGGAGTGGGGAGAGGCGACCGCGGGGAGGAGGGAGAGGCGACGGCGGGGAGCGGGGAGAGGCGACCGCGGGGAGGAGGGAGAGGCGACGGCGGGGAGTGGGGAGAGGCGACCGCGGGGAGGAGGGAGAGGCGACGGCGGGGAGTGGGGAGAGGCGACCGCGGGGAGGAGGGAGAGGCGACGGCGGGGAGTGGGGAGAGGCGACCGCGGGGAGGAGGGAGAGGCGACGGCGAGGAGGAGGGAGACGCGACGGCGGGGAGGAAGGAGCGGCGACGGCGGGGAGGAGGGAGAGGCGAAGGCGGGGAGGAGGGAGAGGCGACGGCGGGGAGGAGGGAAAGGCGACTCGGCGGGGAGGAGTGAGAGGCGACGGCGGGGAGGAGGGAGAGGCGACGGCGGGGAGGAGTGAGAGGCGACGGCGGGGAGTTAAGGGAGAGGAGATGGCGGGGTGGGAGCGAGAGAGACAGCTGGGTGGGAGAAAAACTGGAGAAATTGGGGTGGGGGAGAGGAAAAGGAGGAAGAGCAGAGCTAGTGCTTGTCGAGAGGAACGAAGAACAAGAAACAAGAAAAGGCAGCGCACAAAGAATCTGCCAGCGCAATACAGAACAAAGGCATCTGGCTCTAAACCACCCAACGCTATTCAACTAGCTGACACATCAGATACACTACAAACGCCTAACACGCTATAGTAACCTGATTGAACATTAGAGTAAGTAGTTGGCGAAAACAATTCATGTTTACTACAATCACAAAAAGAACATCAATGTCCAAAAAATTCCATAATAAATAACACTCAAAACAATTTTTAAGGAAGAAAGATATATAGAAAAATTTGAAGGAACTATCTGTTTTACGTAAGATTGAAAAACTTAATAAAATACTTCTATAACCAAAATATAGTTATACTTTACTCTATAACAAAGTTTCTTATTCACGGAACACAGCTCTACACAACCCTTTCGACGTAAACGTCGAGTCTTGTTGTAGTTACAACAAACGTGTAGCAGGTTCTCTTTATAAGGAATTTTTCGGATTCCTTACTGGGTCACACTGTACGCGTACAACCCCGACTTTCGGAAAACCAGGCTCGGTCCTCCGACCTCGCCTTCCGAGCCACTACCGCGTCGCTTTCGGGTTTCACCAGATGAGCAGGTCTGGAGCGAGCTGGAAGGCGAGATGGATGCGGACGAGGCGAGGCAGGCGCAGCAGCAACAGTCACCGCAACAGTCGCGTGCAGCACCGACACGTGCAGCGGCGACGACGACGGCGACGCCGGCAGCAATGCCAACGGCCCCGATGGCAACAACGGCTTTTGTTAAAATCAAGCCGACAAACCCGCCCTCGTTTAACCCAAGTGACAAGTTCGTCACTGTTTCTGCATGGTTGTTCGGCGTGGAGGTGTTTTTTAATGCTGCCATGATTTATGACGATGCCACCCGCATTAATTTCGCAGTTTCACTGTTGCGAGGACCTGCGCTGGAGTGGTGGAGGCGAACGCTGCAGCACGAAGGGACTTCGGCAGGAATAGCACGTGCGAACGACGGGACTTCAACACCTGTCACGCATCAGGCAGCATCAATTTTTGGGACGGCTACGATACGCACATGGAGGGAGTGGGGCGCCGCCTTGCGAACCAGGTTCGAGCACATATCCGCCTCGGACTCTGCTCGCATGAAGCTGCGTGCCTGGAAGCAGCTGACTTCGGTCCAAGACTACACCAGCACGTTCTGCAACTTGGCGGATCAAGTGGACGATATGAGCGACGCGGAGCGGTTGGATCGCTACGTGGCGGGCCTGAAATACGAGATATAGTACGAGGTCCGAAGAACCCGGCCACGCAGCTTCAACGACGCCGTCCAAGAAGCCGAGTCAACGGATGCACTGATGCAGTGGGCGAGATCGAGCTCCCGGGAGGGCCCTCGATTTCGTGGATCGACTCAGCAGCCCACGATCAACGGCGTGGATGCACCAAGCCGAGCCCTTGGGCCGTGATTTTTATGCAACCAGCTCGGCCACCTGAAAAAAGAATGCCCGAGGCTTAAGCAGGGGAAGAAGAACGACGGAGAAGGGTCAGGAAAAGATACGAGTCAGTAGCAGAAGGGCCACCTACTGACGAGACCCTGTCGCCCGACAATACCATCCACACCGGGTCGTGGTACCGATCAGAGCCATCGACCAGAACCGGACGAATAACGTGGGTGAACACGTGGACTACCCTGTGCTGGTGGTAGGGAGGGTTAACGGTTATAAAATAAAAATATTCGTTGACGGTGGGGCGAGCCACAGTCTCGTCAACCTGGCAACGGCCAAAAAAATGGGGGTGAAGCTGACTAGGTGTCTGCTGGAGATTGATGCAAGGCTGGTGGATGGGACACCACTGGCCATCCGAGATGAAGCGCGAAGAATTCGGATACAGTGTGGCGAAAAATTCGGGTTTGGCATGAAGATGTTGGCGACGACGTTGGACGGCTGCGATGTGCTACTGGGAAGAGATTGGCTGCAGCGGTTCAATCCGACGATCGACTGGACAACTGGGGCGTGCGTTGTGCGAGGATACGGAGGGAAGACGACGCTTCCGAAATGGACGGAACCGGAGCCGGTGACGACACGTGTCAACGCGGTCAACATGGCGCGAGCGATGAACAGTGGAGCTCAAGCTTTCTTGGTGCACCTGTACGAGGTGACAGCTTCCGAGAAAATCGCGGACATCGACACCCTCTGCGCAGCAGTCCCCGAGGAATTGGCGAGCATTGTTCGGAGGTATCTGAAATTTTCGCGGATGACCTCCCGGACGGCTTGCCCCCCCAACAACCTAAGGATCATCGGATCCAGCTGGAGTCCGGCGCGCAACCTACTGTTCGGACACAGTGGCGGCTCAGCCAACCAGAGCTCGCCGAGTTGCGGGCCCAGCTGGATTACCTGCTCGCCAAGGGATTTATCCGGGCAAGCACGTCGCCGTTTGCAGCGCCGATACTGTTCACACCGAAGAAGGACGGGGGCCTACGCATGTTCGTTGATTATCGGGCGCTGAATCGGGTCACAATAAATGTGAAGAATGAGGAATGAATGAACTAGCACAAGGTTGGGTACAAGTAGGAAACCCTAGGAAACTGTACGCCATAGTGTCTACCCCACTATAGCCTAGACAAGCTACATAATATGAGTTTGACACACCCCCATAGGCAAAGTGGGGGAGAACAAGAGGTCACAAGACCAGTCAAGCAAAGCAAAGCAAGCTCAGGGTGGATCACAACGTCACCACACAATCCGAGCACAAGAGCAAGGCCAAAAGGCCAGTTCACATGCAAGATCATATATAAAGGTAAACAAGCAAGTGCAGGTATAGAAAGATCACAGTACAAGCAAGGTCAAGAAGTGAGCAAGTGAGGCCAAGTAGGCACAAGACCTAGCATCGTACAGAAGCGCTGAAGATCACCAGGCGGAAGTGCCTTGGTAAAGATATCAGCAGTGTTGGCCTCAGAGGCCACGTAAGCAAGACGCAGCTGACCACGCTGCTGCAGCTCACGAGCAAGGAAGTAGCGGAGAGCAATGTGCTTCGTTCTATGCTCCAGTCTGTGCTCCCGACACAAGGCCAGCATGGCCTTGTTGTCCACGTACAGAACTGGAGGAGAACGAGGCTGCTCTCCTAGGTCAGTCAGCAGGTAGGTGAGCCAGCGTAGCTCCTGTGCAGCCATGGCCCCCGCGTAGATCTCAGCCTCACAGCTGGAGCCGAGAACAGAAGACGAGCGGGTAGACCGCCATGAAACAGAGCCGGAGCCAAGGCTCAAGGTGTAACCCTGTGACGACCGCTGCGTAGCCTGGTCGTCAGCCCAAGAAGCGTCTGCAAGACCTGTGAGGACCACTGGACGTCGCCCTCCAAGCACTAGCCCCATGCCCGACGTACTGCACAAGTAGCGCAACACCCTCTTCGCTGCAGCCATGTGCTCTGGTCGGTGTCTCCCAGGAGCAACATAGCGTGCCAAGATGCTAAGAGGGTATGCAAGGTCAGGTCGAGTGCAGGTCATCAGGTACATGAGGCAGCCAACAAGCTCTGGGTACGGGCCACTCGGCTCTACGGACTCATCCGAAGGCAGAGCTGAGAGCGAGTGGCGAGTAGACAGAGGAGTGGCCTGAGGCGAGGAGTACGTGAAGTCGAAGCGCTGAAGGACCTGCTGCACCATGTGTGACTGAGTCAGGGTAATGGTGCGCTGTGCTCTGTCCCGGGTGATCTGCAAGCCAAGGTAGCTGCGCAGTTCACCCAGGTCTGTGCACGTATGTCTCTTCTGCAGCTCGGACTTCACGTGGGCGAGTCCAGCAGTGTCAGCAGTGGCAAAGACCAAGTCGTCGACGTACACGAGGATGTAGAACGGCGGCAAAGAGGTGTCGGTGCGCAGAAACAGCGACGGGTCGGCTGTAGAAGGAGCAAACCCAAGAGCCGCAAGTGTAGTCCTCAGTGTGTCGTGCCACTCACGGGGCGCCTGGCGGAGACCGTAGACTGGCCGCCGGAGGCTCCACTGGGTACCATGAGGAAACGACCCAGTGAAGCCAGGTGGGCGTCGCAGCCAGATCTCCTCGTGTAGGCTGCCCTGCAGAAAAGCTGTGCTGAAGTCAAGAGAGTGAAGCTCGTAGTCGCGCTGAGCGGCTATGTGCAGCAGCACCCGAAGAGTGGTCATCTTCGGGGTGGGAGAGAAGGTTTGAATGTAGTCAACTCCCTGCCGCTGACTGAAGCCTCGAGCCACGTAACGCGCCTTGAAGACAGGTGGAGAACCCGGCGGCCACTTCACCCTGAAAATCCACATGCCACTGACGATGTTCGCCCCAGGTGGGGGAACCTCGTCGACGTAGGTGCCTGTGGACTTCCAGGAAGCCATCTCTGCGTCCATGGCTGACTGCCACTGAGAGGAGTAGGGACCCTCGATCGCCTCAGCGTACGATCGAGGAGTCGGGATGTCTGGTGCATCCGGGTCTCCCTCAGGGGCAATCAGCGTGGACACGAGATGAGGCAAAGCAGCAGCAAAACACTAGAACTCCTCCTGCCTGTCCTCAAGGACGTCCGTGCTAAGAGCACACTCACCCCCGACGGACGGAGGACAGACAGACTCAGACTCAGCAACAAGACTAGCAGCGTAGTCTAGACGACAGCGAGCAGCGAAGTCGACAAGCTCAGTAACTAGGGCAGACGCAGCAGTGGACTCAAAGGAAGGGTCAGTGACAACAGTAGCCAGGAGACGCGTGACAGAAGTACTGGCAGCACGAAGAGAGTCAGACTCCGGGTCAGCAAGAGGAGGAAGAGAGGACGCTGGAGGAGACGGCAACGGGACACGCAGAGGAGCAGTGGAAGGACGCAGTGCCATCTGGTGTGTGCCTGGGACCGCAGGAGGACGCGGACGCGCAGTACGACCACTAGTGCGAGCAGCACGAACAGGCGACGCAGGACGAGACACAGGCTCACGACGCTCAGCAAGACCTCCAGTAGGACCAGTGTAGGGAGAGGGAGCAGGCAGGGGGGAGGCGGGCTGTAACTGTGACTGCGACTGGACAGGCGGTGGACACTCTAAGGGAGGGGCAGGACCAGTAGAAGGCGGAAGACCAAGAACCTGCTCAAGGAGCGGAAC